CCCCTCCCTGGCAGTGCTCAAGGCCAGGTTGGATGGAGCTCTGAGCACCCTGGGCTGGTGGAAGATGTCCCTGCTCATGGCAGGGGCTTGGAACCAGATGATCTTCAAGGTCCCTTCCAACCCAAACCATTCTGTGATTCTATGACCCACACCCAGGCAGCTCACCGAGCAGGCTGGACGTTGTTAGAGAAGTGGAGCTGCAGGGCTGTAAGAAAAATTGCTCTTTCCATGCGGTACAGCTGAAACCCTCTGCACACATCTCAGAGACGAGTAATGAACTGTTCCGGTACGTACATGAATACACTGGTACTCACAGCTACAACAGGAGAGCATAAAACCACAAAGGATTACAGTCAAAAGAAGGGAACAGAGAGTAATGACTAAGATAAAGATTCTACAAAGGCCCTAAACTATTTGTAAAATGTAATGCTTTTCATCCTTTCCTAACTGGAAAAAAGGTCTCTGGAACTGGCTAATATTACCTGCCTCTACTGAGGAAGTCACACGAAACAAAGAACAGAAAATCCCCACAAGTAAGTTAAAAACCCAAAGGAAGAGGAAAGTGGATGAATGTGAGGATCATGGGAGAAAACTCAGGAAAAGGAGGAACAAACCAGCTATACATTATGCAGTAAATTAAACAAGTACAGACATGCTGTGAGAAGAAAAAAATAGCCTGGGTTTATTTTTGTCCTTTTTCACACAACCTCTGCTTTTTGTGGCAGGAAGGCTGTGGATTCCACACCTACCCAGTACTACGTGGCAGGGAAAGGAAAAGAAAAGGAAAAAAAGAAAAAGGAGTTTGCCACAAGCACACACAGACTTCCCACCCCACGCAGGGCTGCAAGCGGTGTATTCGTACCGGAGGAAAGTACTGGTAAGTAGAATAAAAACTATCAAGGTTTTAGAGACACTAAGCTGAAATGGATTGCGTTTTGAAGCTGCTTTTGTAATCCGCTACTGAATTTTATGATTCTAAAAGACAAAACCAAACTTTTAAAAGTTCAGCTTGTTCTGGTGGCTGCTCTGGTGCAGCCCAACACATCGTGCTCTTCGCTGCTCTGCAGAAGAGACGGAAACGCTGCGGGACGAGCGGCCAGGCGGGCCGACCGCCCAGCCCTGGTGTGGGACTGCCAGCGCAAGGACGCTCTCCACAAGGAAGTGTTTCCAAAAAAATCCCCAAAATCCCACAAATCCCTCCAAGCGTCCCATCATCCACCCTCCTGAAGCACTGAGCCACACAGCTGTTCTCACTCCCCCAGAAGAGCTGGGTTAGGCCTTCACGTCTTACAGCAAAACCAGCGACATGGCGGAAGTTCTGAGTGACGGGGTTGGAAGGAGGTGATCCGTAAGGTCCCTTCCAACCCAACCCACTCTGTGATTCCATGAAGACCGCTGGGCAATGCACTGAAACTTCTCTTTTAAACTATTTTCACGTCCCTTTACATCCACTCCTGGCTGATTCTCCCACGTCTCCCGCAGTCTGCTGCCAGGGAAGGGGCCCGGCCCACCGCGGGCTCCTGCTCAGGGACCCCGTCCTGACCCGGGACTCTCCTCCCGTCCTTTGCAACTTCTCCTTACCCACAGGGCAGGGAAACCCAAAGGTACAAAGGGTGTCAGAGCTCCCTTTCGTAAGCACAGGTCTGATGACGTGGGGTAAAAGCTCTTCCCGGGGGTCTCTCTCGGTGCACGCGCCGTGCACTGGCTGATCGGTTTCACAGCTGGGCACGGAGGGACGGCAGGTTGGAGGCAAGAAGCAAGTTTCTCAAAACTGTTCCCAGAAATACCACGTCAGGCTTTTAAATACGTTAGGCTCAAGCGCTTTTGAAAATCCACCTACTTTAAAATCTCTAGGTGTTCAAATCACAATCCCAGCAGATTAGATAAACAAAACAGTTCAAAAATATGCATGAACCACGAAAAAAATCACTTTGCTGTACATTATTTCTGATGTATTCTCTCAGCATTCAAAATTTTAGCATAAAGTTCTTTAAAATTACTGTAACATTTCCACTGCGCATAAACCACAATACAATGTGGAACTGAAGCCCATTCTGCCATAAATTTCTCAGAAAACTAGAGGTTATTTGTAAAACAGAGAGATCCTTTTCAGAACAGAAAGATTTCTCTGTCAGCGCGCAACCCAATCTGTTCCCGGCTTTGCCTGCAGTAGCTGCTATAATAAACAAACGATGACTGGCACACAGAAGCTCGTTCAAAGCGTTTTCTTACAGATTTTTGCACCAATGGACCTTAAAAGCCCCACTGAACTTTATTTAAAGTCCTTACCAGTTAACTTCTTCACAGGTTGGAGCCGAACACTGATAGACTGATGTGTGAGTAAGGGGGAGGATGGAAGGGAGCGGGACATGCCCTCCATAATCCGAATGTGCTGCATACCTTCGGTCACTGGGAGTGGCGGAATGGCGTAGTCGGGTTCAAAAGCACAGTCGTTCTCTGTGGAGGTGCCTGCCAGGGACAGAAAAATAAAAGGGAACTGGTCAGAATACAAGGGACGCTCCCGCTTTCAGCAGCCCGGGACGGAGGAGTGGCTGGCTCGGGGGAGCTGGGGTGGCTGCTTTCTCATGTTCTTCTTGCATGGTCTTGACACTGCCCTTGAAGAAATTAAATGTCTGGCACAGCATCTCAGCACGTCTCTTTAGATTATGAATGGCGTAACCATGAAGAATTTATTTTGACTTTTTATTTGTCTTTCAGAGTCCTGGAGTCACCAGTTTCAAATATAATTCAGACAAAGCAATAACCCTTTTACTGGTAATTTTTCTGTGTGTTTATATTGTGGATTCTAACACCAAAAATTTCAGCTGAATTAAATTTCCATACGAGGACCTTTAGCCTGGAAAAAACCCCCACCGCAACTGAAGAACCAAACCCTCCGCGAGCAGCCACCCCCAACACCTCACAGCAGCACCCAGAGCCGCAGGAAGCCCGGCCGGGGGTCTCATCACCACAGAGCCACACGCAAGACGCCAAGTAACACGGCATCGAGTGCAGATAGAACAAGGAAGGCTCACACTGCTACCTGCTGCACTAAATATTAACGACAAATGAAAGGCAGGTGCTCGGCATCAGCACGAGTTGGGAGCTGTAAGGTTCCTCCTGTCAGCTGCAGACTACGGAAGCCTCCGGGTCAAGAGCACTTGGTTCTCCACCTCCAGTCAGCGAGATGAACAGCCTAACACAGACAACCAGTAACTCATCTGCAAAACCAACTTCAAACTGTTACGTTAATATTTCACTACAGATAATGTAAGAAGATTACACTCGCACCACACCTTTAGGAGATGGATTTTAGCTTTTAGTGCCTACTAATGCTTTTCCTCCACAAAGACATTCATTACTTGATTTCCATTGGATAGCTGTGTGGTTCTCAGCGGCTTGCGAGAATATGTTTAAAAGGGAAAATGTAACTCCTGGACAGAAGGGTAGACAGACAAAAGAGGGGAGAAGACACGAGGGTAAACGCCTGAAATACGTGGCATTCCAGAGGAGACGATGAACTAACTCCATTCCAGATAGCCAAAGGACAACATGAACAACCCAACTTATCATTTCGATCGGAGGAAAAACCCGTATTGAAGTAACTGTCAAAAATCTTGGAGAAGCTCCTGAAATGCACTAAGAGGTCTATCGTTTGTGGCTAAAATCCCTCCATTACTGATGCCAACTGCCAGGAACATCTCTCAGCACTTTTGTATCATTCTCTACAAGAAACCAAAGCAGCCACGAGCACCCTTTACACATGCACTGTTTTTGACAGCTCAAAATATTCCTTTTACTCTCTTGCTTACTGAACACTTGCCACATTCACCGTAGTCTACTCAACGTATTTTCAAAGTCTAATCCTTACAGAGGTGGTTTCTTTAACTTCCAGACGCCCCAGTAAGCATGCTACAGTTCGATATGTTTTATTAATCCGAGACTGTCATTACTGCCACCAACCATGAGCCAGACACTGATGTTTTTCTATTCATTTCATGCTGCTTTAATTAAGTGTGCACATGAATGCTCTAATGAAGTACATTCCTTGAAGAGGACACAGATTACTGCTATTCTTTTTTTTTTTTTTTGGTATTAGAAGATGCTGTTGTTGACAATATCATGCCTTTTTTAATATATATATCTCCAAATACATATGTATATGTGTGTGTGTATATATAAATATATAAAAAGATTTGGCTAAAGTCACAGAAAACCAGAACTCTTGCCTTGCCACCTTTCCCCTGCAGTTACTACCATTGCCACATGAGCAGCAGCCCAGCCTTGCTTCTCACTCTGCAACCATCCCAGCGAGGCAGCCGTGTGCCGCTGTGACCCACTCCCATCAGCACCGCTTCGTTACAGACACGGAGTCTGCGCTTACGGCCATCTCCAACACCCTTCACCCCTCTGGTCACACACACCAGCAGTGCTGCGGTCTGCTGAAGCTGCACCCCTCTCATGTAATTTTGGGGTCCACCAAAGAGGTGTCTGCATCCAAGCAAGGTGTCTGGAAGCGCTTCTGGAAGGCAGGGAGTTCAGGACAAGATTCATCTAATGACGCGTTTCAGGGCTCTGTTTCAGGAAGGGAAGAATCCCAGCCCGGACACTCCACTGGCACCACGCATCACCTCTCGTGGGATATGAAGGGACTCGAGGGCGATGGGCAGCTCCACGGCACCCACCCACGTCCAGCCAGCTGAGCAGCTCCAGGCCTCCCGGTCGACACATGGCTCAGCTACGCACACCAACCGCAGCCTCAGGGGCTGGACGCTGGTGCTTCTCAGATCCTCCACCAGCCCCGACGCCAAGCAGACAGGACACACGAGGCACAACGGAGAGACGCACGTGCTCGAGAGCAAGCCCAAGCCTTGCACACACACAGCGCACGGGACAGTGCTACTGCTCAGCAGAGCTTGGTATCTCACGTTTGATGATCTTGTTCCTAAATGTTTTCTGCTCATCATCCAAAAGATGCAATGGATCTACAAGTGCATAATTTTTTCCAGGAGGGCACAATTTGATAGCATGCTGCTAACGTAGCAAAAAAACCCAAAAAACAACCTGACTTCTTCCAGCTGCACATTGCCAACTGCAATTATTGGCTCCATATATAGCTTACTTGACATAAGCTGATGGAGGACCCTGCTTTTTCCAGGGTTACTGTGAGCTGAACACCTCTGCTGACTCTGCAAGTCTATTGATAATCACCTGTGAGTACCAGGAAAGGCGACCCGGCACCGGTGCCAGAAGCGGCATTGGCATCGACAGCAGCAAGCTACGATGTTTTTTCAAAATACATCTGGCGCCAGACACACACACAAAAACGATTTGTCATCACTGATTTTGGTTCTTAAGAACTATGTTCAAATTTCCTCCGGCTAGATTTGGGGGTTTGAGGGAAATAAACCACAAAAACGATTTGTCATCACTGATTTTGATTCTAAAGAACTATGTTCAAATTTCCTCCAGCTAGATTTGGGGGTTTGAGGGAAATAAAGACCAGGCATCTTCTGCAGCTTAAGGTCTGGGAAAGACCTCAAACTCCGCGTGCATTTCTCTGGTTATCATGGGGTAAGTTCACAGAATCTTTGCTCACTCTTCATCTAAAACCAAGGGCAACTGAGGCAGTATCCTATAAAGAAACAAAAGTAACGGTATCTTTGCAAAGTCTTCAGGATTATTTTCCCTCTTAAAATGGAAACGCTTTACCACAAAACCAGTGAACTCACAAAATACCCACAACGTACTATTTTCATTCCACAGATGTCAAAATTCTTCCCTCACCGTTGCTGGAGTAAACACACACACAAGCAAGGTAAGTGAAAAAGTCTTAAATTTCAGTCAGAATGAATATTGGGTTTATCAAACCCTCGAAGTAGGGACCATTCAAGGCTGAACTGGAACTCTGACAGCTTGTCTATGAAATATATTTAAATGAAACGTTACTGCAAAGTGCGTATCTGAACTAACAAACTATTTCTTGAAGTTTTCCAAGATAATGAGGCTTTACAGGCAGCTGTAAGGCCTGGGCATCACACCTGGCAACAGGGCTGTTTGAAAGCTTCCATGTAAGTAAGATGACCACCTCCTTTCAGTCGGCCGCTTTATCTCAGCATAATAAAACCCCTTCAAACACCGTTACGAAAAACACATGTTAACGGGCAGCCAGCTAGCAACTCACAGACACAGAACAGGGCAAAGACAATACTTCTATGGGCAAAGAGACAACTTCTCCCACACCGTAGAAAGCTTGTGTCTACACTCACATCCATTGATCCCAATGGAAGTATTTCACGCAGAAGCTCATTTCTCCAAGAAGCTGGAAGTATTTTTTTTAACTGTTTCCCCTCCTGCTCCCTCTCACGCTGAGACTCTTTGCTAACTACTGCAATTCTTAGAGTCATATTCCTTGAGGCAAACAGACGCAGGCTGGTCATTCTTTGGCAAGTCAGCATTTGCCAAAAAAGCCCCATGTTCTCTGCCCAAACCCAGTACTTTTCCACAGCAGCCGAATAAATAGGCTGAGAGGTAACCTGGGAGAACAGAGTCTACAGAAACACGGCAGGCAGCTCCCACCTCCTAACAACAAACCAGGGGACAAACCCCAGGCAAACACGAGGACATCACAGGGACTCGGGGCAGGGGAAGCGGACACGGCTCCGCGGCACAACGAACACACCAGCAAGTCCATCTCAGCCAGCGGTGTCTGGAAAAGGGCAACCACTCGCTCCGTATTCTCAAAGCACGGGAATGCTACTTGCATGCAAGCTATCACGGGGTATGCGCAGTTATAAATTCCCTTGTTCCTTCCTGGTTTTATTTTAGCTTTTCCATTTTAAAATAAGAAAACCTAAAATAATACATGTTTAAACAATAAGAAAAAGATCCGATGTTAACAGAGCAGTTTCAGCTGTTAATGTTTCACAGGGCTTCAGGGTTTTAACTCTAAATACGGATCCTCCTAAGTCTGATGGCAGGCTTCAATCACTTGCAGTAATTTCGCCTGGACAACACTGGAATACTGCCAAAAAAGAACAATGCTCTGGAGAAAATGTCGCCATTATAAGTCATTAGGACACCATGACAACAACAGACTTCAACCTCAATGAAATGAAAATTATTGCTGCAGTCTGAAGAAGAAAGTAAGTCAGTGCACACAGCACCTGCTAGAGCCACGCTGCCAAAAACCACATCTTCATCTCAAAAGCTGTGTGAAAATACCAGCATTTTCATAACCCTTACAAACGAGGAAATGCTTAAAATCTTAAGTAAGCATTTAAGCCAGCGCAGATCTAAGAGCTGTTGCTGCCAGCGACAGAAACCCCCACTGCACGGCTCTGGTGGTGGTTCTAGCCACCAAGCCTACTGTCAACGATGGATACTCAACATTGGAGTTTGCAGAATCATTTTTATAAAGAATACAAAAACTATTTTTACTCCTCTCTTTCTAGGGCTTTTTGCCTGTTCCTGTAGGACAAAACAAAGCAGACGATGTTCCACACGGCTGTCCAGGTCCCAGGTCGCCCCTCCATCACATCAAGGGTCTGGGGCAAGGATGGCCCGGTGACTGAGAACCCGCCAGGTTCTCCCCTTTGCAATCAGGGGAAGGCAAGTGGCCTGTTGATTTGTGTTGGTACGTTCTGAAGGCTTCTCACACCCCCAGCTTCCACAACCGCCCTGGCGTAAGCTCCGTCCCTCTGTCAGCGAAACAGAGATGCAGCACCTCCACAGGGACACCTGCGCCACACCATGATCTAGTCTGAACTCCTTCAGACCACACAAAGATAGTCTGTTCTGTGAATATCAGTACAGTTGTAGTACAGTTGTAGTTACGTGGAGAATAATGGTGGTTACAAAACTCCGTCAGATTCCACAGTCTCATGACAAACACGACACGTATATATAAAAGGCGAACAAATGAGGAATGAGTCACTGAGGCAGAACAACACTAAGGTTTACCTTGCCCAGATCGGCTCTGGCGGGAGTCTACACTTGCCTGTCTTCGGTCTGGTGGCTCCTCGTTCCCTCCATCTGCATGAGAACCAAAACAGCAGAAGTAGAACATCATAGTGGACAGGTCAGGCAGATGCAACTTTCCCTTGAGTACCATCGCCTATCGGGTAGGAACCGCCGAAGGGAAGGTCCCTCCTGCGGACGGAAACTGGGGCGAACTGCTGACTGACTCCTCTGCTGCTCCTCGCAGTTTCTCCCCAGCTCACGGAAATGAAATCCGTGAGGCCCTCAGGATGTCGGCAGGCTTTTAATTTCTCCTACTGACCCCACAGATACTTGAATGAAATAGTAATTGGGTTGTGCATCTTCATATAGTTCCTCCACTTTGGACTGTTCTATCTAAATATAAAAAATATTAAGCATATGATGAAAGAGATCAAGTTTAAAGAAAAAAAAAAGGGGGAATAGTCCTTGAAATTGTTTCCCTTCAAAATTATTTGTCAGCTAAAAAAATGGGAGGGCTGGAAGAACAAAACCACTCTCATTATATCCTCTTGTTTAGGAAAGCAGCTATAGTTAACAAATAAAAATCCATCTGGACAAATGTAGAGTGGGACACTGTGTACAACAGTATACAATTAATTACATGCTGGTCTTCATTGATCAACTGACCAGATTAGAAACAATAGATATGCACATCCATCCAGCTGCTTGAGTACACAGGGCTTATGCAAGCTGAAAGCAAAAAGAACTCTGGCTACGCAGATTGTCAAAAAGCAAACCCAGGCATTTAAAATGCAGGATGTATTTCAGAGGTTATTACACCTTCTGGTAGGAGGAGGGGAGGCTTTTATAATCTTTAAAAATAGTTTCAAAAGAACTGAATTCTTAAATAGCTGTTTAAAAACTCCATAGCTGATTTCAGCATTTATACTTTTGGATTATACTGAAAGCAGCTGCACTCGGATATGTTTATATCTGTATATATCTATAATATGTATCAATATATCCCCAAAGCTATTTGTTGGGTGGTCCTGTTACCCCATAAAGTAACTCAGCTTTATCAACTCATACCACGTGTGAGTTACACCCGTTAGTCTGGCTTGAAAGGGAAGCCCTGGCCCAGGCTGCCCAGAGGGGCTGTGGAGTCCCCTTCTCTGGAGAGTTGCCAGCCCCGCCTGGCCGCGGTGCTGTGCAGCCTGCTCTGGGTGACCCTGCTTGGGCAGGGGGTTGGGCTGGGTGACCCACAGAGGTCCCTGCCAACCCCTGCCATGCTGGGGTTCTGTGACTCTGTGTACTGGAGCCCAACAGCAGGACTGGTACGGTGACCGAACTCCGGTCTCCCCCGACCCCAGCAGAGCCGGAGCACAGCCCGGGCCGTGGCGAGGGCTTTTGCTCCTGCTTCCAGCCCTCAGCTTCCCTGACGCCAGGCTCAGGCACCTTCAACGGGTGCCAGCAATGTGGTTTGCAGTCACCTTTGCATTTTTCCCTGCAGGTAAAGGTCAGCGTTCTAAAGCCAGCTAAAGCATCCTGGAAATCCCGTATTTTCTACCAGCTGCCTGTGCCCAGAGAAGCCATCACCACTGCCAGGCGTCAGGCAGGCCACAGACCACGACATTTTCCCTCCTTGCTTTTCTAGTCTGGCTGCAAGAAGGATGTGACATTGCACATACGACAGCAATTCCGAGTTATTCAAGGAGCCTTTATTAGCCCGGAGATACCCTCTCCGGGTTAGTTACACTGAGTCCTCCTACAGGCCGGCTGGCAGCAAAGAATATTCATCTAATGGAGGATTAAAGATCACTCTCTCTGTTTTCACCTGTAACACAGAACGCTGGGCTTGCGCTCTGCTTTGCACACAGACATAATCCTCACCGCTAAAGGCCACCGGCTGTGAGCCCACACGCACAACCTCTCAGTTACGAAGAAAACAAAAAACCTTTCAGTTCCAAACATAAATACGCAACGCGAGATAATGATGAGGATTGAAAGTTTCAAAAGATGAGGGTTACAAACTGAAAATCTCAGTATTAAAACCAGGAGTAAAACCCTATATTTATCAAAACCCACATAATCATCATCGAACGACAAACTTAATATTTCTCTTTTCTTTTTTTGCATCATTACTGTGAGTGACGCTAAGTGACTGCCTTCCCAGGGCCGTCCCGCTCACCCACAGGCGGGTGCTGGCAACCCCTCCCCCCCGCCCGCAGCGGCGAGAGGCCGGGCTGGTTCTGGCGGAGGAGATGCTGCAGGATGCGACCTCGACCATGGGTGCAAGGGGCGGGTGCCGCGGCAGGGAGGAACCAACGGCCCCGTCCTGCCATGGGAATAACCCAGGGCATCCCCGGGGACAGGAGGATACAACACAGCTGGGTTCAATGACATTTTAAAAAACCTCTGAAGTCAGACTTCAAAATCTCATGCAATTTTTGCTTTAATTTAAAACTATGGTAAAACGAACGAACTCCAGACTCTTTCCAGTGGTGCCCAGCGACAGGACAAGGGGCAACGGGCACAGACTGAAGCAGAGGAAGCTCCAGCTGAACCCGAGGAAGAACTTCTTCCCTCTGAGGGTGACGGAGCCCTGGCCCAGGCTGCCCAGGGAGGCTGTGGAGTCTCCTTCTCTGGAGATATTCCAGCCCCGCCTGGCCGCGGCGCTGTGCCCCCTGCTCTGGGTGACCCTGCTTGGGCAGGGGGTTGGGCTGGGTGACCCACAGAGGGCCCTTCCAGCCCCTGCCATGCTGGGATTCTGTGAATGTTTGGTGACATGAAACTGGTTTGTTAAGTTTTTCTTGAACTTACAGAACAACTTTTTCCAAGGTGCTTTGCAGTAAGACTTTAACAACAGCATAACTCTCATTTCAGTTAAATGCTTTTGAACACCAAAGGCAGTTAATATTTCATTATGTTAATAATAGTTTCACTATCATAAACAGATGTTCTGAATTAACTTTAAAACGTCCTTATTCTAAATCATCTCAAAGAGCTACGTAATATCCAAAAACTCTGAATATATGCCTGACAGAGATGGAAGAGTTTTGAAAGTTAGGAAAAAGATAATTAATAAAGGACTTCAAGGACCAAATTGGGCTTCAAACATCATAGCACTCTTCACTGCAAGAGTGGTCAGGCACTGGAATAGGTGGCCCAGGGCAGTGGTGGAGTCCCCATCCCTGGAGGTGTTCAAAAACCGTGTAGACGTGGCACTTCGGGACATGGTTTAGCAGGCTTGGGGGTGTTGGGTTGATCGTTGGACTTGATGATCTCAGGTGATTCTGTGATTCTAAGGGATTCCTGAGCTCTCCAGTCAATGCTGCTGGGTAGGACGAATCTGGAGATGAAGGAACCGACCAAGCAGGAACCCATGCTCAATCCAGTTGTTATTTTTTTTTTCTATATAACTGGGCTCTTTGAAAACACATTGCCCTCACACCCTCAGTGTGGGTTTGCTTTAGTTCAGCCCCATTCCCACTCCTGCAGAGGCTCCCTCCTCACCCAGCTGGGTTGACCTGCCGGCCTGCTCCAGACACCCACTGCATCGTTCTCCCAGCCCCCGCACGCAGAACAGTGAAGAATAAACCATCATTCTCAGGGGACCTGTAACCGCTCTCAGCAACAAGGGCCACCATCCCTGGGGTTGGGCTGGAGACCGAGGACAGCAGAGTGTCTCTTGCTCTTCTGCCACGACGTGCAGCTGGGAAACTCCAGTGCCAAAGCACCAACCTGTGTTTTATCACGACTGGTTTGCAGCTCTTCCAGAATTTGGTTCTCCCATTCAGAGGAGCAACAAGGATTTTCCTTGACACTTTTTTTGGTAGGGAGGAAATGCAAGCTGCTGTCTGGAAGGCAGAAAGCTTTTACACAATAGCTTTACCGAGAATCTAAATCCTACTTGGGATTGTCTACAATGGAATAAATCTAAGAGACAAGCATGTTCTTTATTTTAAAAGAAAAAACTGTGAGCTTTTCAGCCCAAAGTGAGTAGGTTTAGGTCTCTCGGAAGTCACCTTCCCTACTGAGGTGAAGCAGGTATTTTCCAAGTGCAGTAAATGTATAAAACACGTGATGGGAGCTTCGAGATACAACGCCAACGCGCCAGCGGCAGTGCTGTTGGAATACTCAGAGCCCAAGCAGGAATTCTTCTATTTAAGATCACTGGGAAGGACAGGATCTCTAGCGGTACAGTAACCAAGCCGGTACTCGTGCTCTGCAAAGCGACATTACCCAAGGCAGCAGAGCCGACGGCCCCGCTCTCCGACGCCCTCCAACACCCAACAGCGGGGTGCCAAACGGGGACGGCTCGCTGCCAAAGCCGCCCAGTCCGAGAACAGCAACTGCTGCTCAGGGTTCACAGCCTGGTACGGACTCCTCAGGTAACGTGCAAGTTACACAACGTATTAAGGGAGAGAGAAGAATCACACTGAATTAACTTCCCAAATCAGCTGAGGAGGGTGGGCAAGGAAAAAAGAAATCTGATGACTCAGCATACGCCATGTCTTTAGTCAGCATGCGATTGCACTCGCCCGTCACTGCTGCGTTTGGTGCCGTTGCAGCAAAGGCTGGAGCTTGGGTGAAACACAGCAAAATCTCACGGGCACTCCCGAACCCACTCGGTGGCTCTGAATGAGGACTGCCCCGCGAGCGAGCACAGCCGAGTAACGCCGTCCCTCCCAACACCGCGGAGCAGCGCAGGCACGCACGTGCGGGCGCGCTTCACGTGCGCAAATGGAACCACAGCTTCACCGCATCAACGTCAGGCAGCCCGGCGAGCTCGGAGCTGTTTCGGGAAGCCCTGTCCCCCCCGCCCCACGGACCCCCGACCCTTCCCATCCACCGTGCCCTCTGTTCCGGGAAAGCAGCAGAGAGCAGACCCCGGCAGGACGGAGTCTCCAGGGCAGAGCGGGCACCTCATCCCTTGCAGGCAGGAATCGTGTGATGAGGAACACTTGCAATAAAAATATATATAAAAAAATACAAACAAATCAATGCCAGGGAGTGGAAAAGGCTGATACCTGCAGAATTTAAGATGTATGGTGAAAAGGCAGAGGAGTGCGGGAAGAGAAGGAACAGCCCGC